TTTTTAATTTTCATGTTGTATAATTTGTAATTCCTCCCGGAGAATTCAGGCTCCCCCACTGGCACTCCCTGTTCTCTAATACTATTCACGCTTATCAACTTTTTGAGATGGGTTGAAAATTTATTTCGATGCACTAAGCTGGCATCTATAGAAAATCTCAAGCTTTTTACGGACCATTGGATTTTACTTCTTAGCTGCCATACAGTTTTACTGTACTGTAATAGACAAGATATAAATTGAAACCTGGAATTTTTCCGTTTTCTTTCTAGGCCTTCTGGAATTCCTTGGTATTTGATTGGTATAAAAATTTCTGGATGTAAAAGAGAACTCAGATTGTCTTATGCAATTCCGAATCAGCTCAACATGGTTAGAGTTCAACGGCATCAAAATTTCTGAGAAAAGCAGAGACACATCTTGGCATTTCACTACACATGCATTGACTCAATATCGTTGAGGATAACTTACTTTTTGTCTGAGATAGTGAACTACAGGCCTTAACAACAAAAGTAATACCATATTCTAACAGCAAGTAAGATCTTTTATTGCTTGTTTATTCTAGTGCAGTCAACTTCTTGATGGAATTTTTATTCTTTTGAATTATTCAGTTTATTAGTCGCTGCTAATGAAAAATGGTGAAAGTAGAAATTAGGTTAAATTGATATGTGAGTTAATCAGATCCAAAGTCAGTGTTGGAATGATTGAAGATTTGTGTCTAATGGTGATTATTAGTCTAATAGCATTAGTAGGGCAGACCTGCACCTGCTAACAGTGTTTTAAAACCTGGCTCGGTTGAACCGGTTTAATCGGGACTGGGGGCCTTCATCTAGCTGAGTTACCAATTTCTCTGTTCATCGAAAACCTTAGACATTGGGATGATGATCGGTGAACAATTGAAGGTTGGGATGTTGGGGCTTTTGAAGAGGAAGGGTCGGTGGGGCTAGTGAGTGCAATGATGGCGATGAAGGTGATTTCTGGTAAGTGAATAGATTGGAAATAAAAAAAAAAGGGCGACGGCAACAGTCGGCTTCTGTTGGTGATTAGCGAGGCGAACATGGTTGGGGTAAGATGAGTTTTGGTTAGGAGATTGAGGGGAGTATTTTCGGGGTGATGGCAACAGTTGTCTACGCTGATGGTTCGATTTTAGCTAGATTTTGGGTATATTTTATGGGGAATGGGCTCAAGGGATGGTTGGGATTGCATTTGGTGTGTCGTTGCTGCCAACCAATCGACCGTCGATTTATATTTGGGGTGTGTTTGCTACATTTCAAACTTGTAGGGACTTAATGAACTTTAGGGGTGTGTTTGTTGAATTTTAAACTTTTGGATATCCGGTTAAACCGATCAACCCAGGATCCAACAACTTTGTTAGGTTTCACCCCGGTTATTAAAACATTGCCTGCTAATGTGACCTGCCCCAGCTAGTAGTGAAATGTTGCTACTTGCTATGTGAATATAACAAATAAATCCGGAGAAGATATGTTTTTTTTGGCCACTGAAAGTGAGAGGTGAACAGTTTTCATATGTAATCCAACCAAAACAAACAATCGCTCATTTAATCTAATTTTGTTATTAAAAAAGGGTACATACTAATCTTTTGAAGTAAAAACATTCAAATTGAAAAACACGAATTAATTACCAAAATAACACAATGTTATATTATAAAAAAACAATTGAAAAAATCTTTGCCGCTTGGTCAGTCAACAGTCGCAAGCTAGATTGCAACGGAAAAATTGCCGCAATTTGTTGTTCTAAATTGCAACAGGCGTGATAATGTGGTGGAACAAGCAGAGAGAAGTATGAACCAAACCTTCCCTGCAGCAATAGAAACTCTCCGACTAATGAAATCCCCTCCACCTGAGAGGTCTGCCGGCAAGAAGCTCTTATGGTTCTTGTCTTCTTGATAATGTGGATTGTGGACGAATAATTTCTTGTATTATTTATTTGCATATATTTACAATGTAAATCAAAGTGGCTGGCCGGCCAACAACGCCGATTCAGTCTGATTTGGAGAGACATTATACTGTATATTTTTCTTAATTTAGATTCACATTATTTAGAATGGTAAATATTACTTAGGTACTCATGAATCATAAAAGTCCGGCTCTTCTCACATACAGTAGTACAGACTACAGACAAACGTTTTCACAGGCCCCTAATCAACGACAACTCGTTTATAAACTTCATAAGTTCAGATGGCAAATATTACTTAGGTCCAATAAGAATCATGAAAGTAGGATTTACTTTTCCGATATAAAGATAAATATTGGTAGGTTAAATAATATTCATCAAATGTATGACATGTCGTTCAACGAGCAAACATATTATACATCAAAAGAAAACGCTATCGTTTCGTCTAGTAAAAATGCCGGTGTTGACAACCAAATAAGGCAAGGAAATGATGTGTTTGTTTCACAGCATGAAGGACCCCAGTATTGCGGCATTTTGGCCTATGACCTTGCCTCAGGTTGTGGGCGGTTTGACTATGATGATGATATCAAGCAGAAAATTTGGTGGCAATACAAGGTTCCAGATTCATTTTGTTTCCTCACCCTGTGTTGGACATTATTTATTTTGTTGTGACCGTGTTTTCTTGTTTATTTTTGCTGGCATACATTGCTTATGAGGTTTTTTTTTTTTTTTTTTTTTTTTTTTTTTCCTGTGTTTAAGTTAAAATTCCGCATCTCTCACGGTAAGAAATGAAGAAGTCTAGATGCACGTAAAATTTTCATTAAATTATGCATTTTCTTAGGTGTAGTTTACAACAGGTTTTTGCGCCAGTCAGAATTGGGAAATACGTGATTCTTCAGGAAGTTAGAGAGTGACATTCTAATTCCACTCACTTTCATGCTACCTACCAGTGTTAGTTGTTGTCCGGAAATATGCATGCTAAGCCTTAGCCATAGAGAAGGGGAAGTGAATCAATTGACTTCAATTTTAAGACTTTTACTCCTTGCGTTAATTGGATAAAGTCATTCCCAGTTGACCTTCTAACATTTTCTGTGGTCTTCAAGATTAAAAACTTTGTAGAATAGCAGATTGATATGGTTTTTTCGGCTTTTTTATTTAAAACCTATTAATTTGTCATTATGGCATTTTTGTTTTTCGTATAAACAATCACGGACATGAGTCCCCTAGACTTCGAGGATTTGCTGATTTGATTGCCCCATAGTTAATATCCCAGACTGCACCTGCAGGTAGAAATTTGGGTGTAAATGTTACATTTGATATTTGATATTTGTGGAGTAGGAATCTATGCGGTATGATCAACTTCGGGAGGTGGTGGCCAAGCGAAATCCTGGCTGGGAACACTTGCAGGAAGTAGGATAATCTCCGAACAGTAATCTTTCCTCTTATGAATCTCATTTACACTTTGGGTTCAATAATATGATTTTCCTATATGAGAAGTACTAGTCTTTATGGGAGTTAAAGATCTGTCTATGTGGAGAATATGCTTTATGAGCTTAATGCATTAAAATTGTGATGACATGGCTTTGGTCTATTTGTTTTTATTTTTTTATTTATTTTTTATGGACACCATAAGGCATTGTATTGAGTGATACTTGGGATTCCATGCAAGTTGTAAATATTGTATTTTATATTTGCTGAAAGTTCTTGATTTGAAATCATTTATCATTTTCAGGCTTAATCTCCATAGATCCTGTCCGTGCCAGGGAAGACCCTTTTATAGTGAAAAATCCCTTACTACAAGGCCAAAGAAGCTCTAGAAGCAGAAGTCATGAAGCTTGATCCTCCGCCACGCCTCAAAATTGGGGTGTGCGTATCCTCTGTTACTCTTCATACAATATTCTTGTTTTCCATTATTCATGTGTTTTTTACTCTGTTGATAATGTTGGAATGTACATTGACTAACTGCTCAGCATTGACAGAACTTGACCTTCCACTCAATGCCTCTTCTTGGAGCGAGGAGGATCTCAAAGACCCGAAAAAGTTGTATGGAAGACTATTCTTCTTAATGCCCAAAGAGAAATGGCTGATAAAATTTTGGATACTCAGTGGGAAACTAAATGGCGACAAGATAAGGTTAGTACCGTTAATGTTTATTGGGCCGAGTGAATATATGTTATGTTTCGACTCATCATTTTTTCAGTCATCACAGTATTTATTATGTCCTATAATAATGTGTAATTCTGTGTTATAGTTTTCAAAACTTGCTTATAAAAGTATAGGCTGAAGTAGAAACTCCATATATCTTGGAATTAATATTTAAACCTTTAATAAATCAGGAGAAAAGCTCATGAGCATATTTCCCTTGTAAATGACCTCTATTTCCTGAATACTTTCTCACAGTTTCTTGTACACTGATTTTCAGACATCTTAGTCTCTGAAATAGGGCTACAATTGCCAACAATCATAATTTTGTGTCCAATGAGCTTTTATCTGTTTTGTTGATCATTGAATGAGTGTTGGAGGAGAAGGTGAGGCCATACATTCAGAAACATTGACAACACTGTTCTTTCTCAGCCTATTCTAATGAAACAACAGAATAAGAATCAGAAGGTTTTTCGGTTCTACTTTGTGACCTTTTTTCTTAATTAAATATATATTCTAGTAACTGATGAAAGGCTTTTGTTGGTACTTAGAACATGTATCTAGCTGGTTTTTTATGTGTATACTGTAACTGGCTTGCTTATATCTTGTTACAGAGGACTCGGCAAAGAGATGGTGGTTCTTTAAATTGGAAAATGATGTTATTGGTTGAAGAATAGATGGATAGGCTTATGTTGTGTTTTGCAATTTTGCGTAGTTTATGCTTCTTGTGTTTGGTCACCTGGTGTTTTATGGTTTTTGGAAGGATTATGGTCATTTTTTAATTGGTATTGCTTAATTTGTTGACCGTTTGATTTGTGTTTGCGATTTAGCATATATACCTTTTTGTGTTGCAAGTTCTAATTTCTTAATTTATAAGTTGTTTCATATATATAACCCTCGTTCAAATGCCTTAAATTTATTCGTTTAGTTGATCCCATGGATTAACTGCAGGCAATTGCTACACTTGGGACCTATGATATTGCACTAGAGCTGGGCAAGAAGGTGGTATGCCAGAGGTGCTTTTCGATATCTTTGGAATTTTTATTTTGGTCCTTGCTTTTTGTCGTTATTTGTTTTATTCTGGTTGTAATGGAATTCTTGATATTGTGATATTCTGAGTGTCATTTTATCGTTTTTTGCTTTAGTTGTGTAATCATTTGATATTATAACATAGCAAGTTATAGTTTTTAAAAACCATGTACTGGAATTTCATCTATTAAACTGAGTTGAATGATGATATTTTACCAGGTATTTTGTGCTGATGAATTGGAAGTGATATCAACTTATATGTTTAATTGTTCATATCAGCTTGGTTTCAATTGAAGAACGCAAGTACTTTTTTTGGGCTTTAACATGCTGTCTTATGTGAGATTGGTCTATGAAATGCAGGCATTGTCGTACATGCAATGGATGGCAGGCATTGCGGTGTACTATGTGCCGAGGATCAGGGCAAGTGCAGTACCAAGTAAAAGATTACACCTTGAGAAGGTATGTTGATTTGCAGTCAGTTTTGATAATACATTACAAGCTCTTCTTTGGTTTGTTAGGGGGATGTACATTTTCTTTTCGCTAGTCTTAAATTTAGATTTGAGAGGACAAGGAATTGAATATGAATACTATAAATTATTATCATCATTCAGTTTATGTATAGAAGCATAAATCCAACCAAAGTAATTTGATGCTTATATTACTTTTTATTATTAGTTATTATTATGTTTTGGATTTTCTTGTAGTGGAGAGAAGGCAACTGCTGAACGTGTTGCGGATGCCATTGTTGATAATCGGGCTGAGTTGGTGCACCTTCCATCTACAATTGATCTTAACTCACCATTGCCATCGAAAGATTGCCCGACTTGTGATGGAACAGTGAGAGCTTTATTTCATAGCTTATGTGACTGTATATATATATTTTTTCTTGATACTCAATAATCCCCCAACATTTCTATGGATTCATTGAGTTCTATAGTAGGTGACAATGAGCATATCTACAAAGCCCGCACACTTATGGTATATGATATCCTAAGTTGGTGGGTCCAAGAGGAATTCAACGCCTGATCTTTTGGTTGAAACCAAATGCCTAACCCACTCAATTCAATCCATGGGGTTGCTTCCCCTTACACTGTGTTTTCTTGGGCTTCATGTGAATGTAATTTTGTGCTGTCTCATATTCTGAAAGTTCTAGTATCCCAGATAATTTATTGCTTTATATGCCCATCTAGTTATTTCCACCTTTCTTATTCAGTTTAGGGAGAGATATTTCAACCTTGTTATGAACTTATCTGTGACAATAATTTGTGGTGACCCAGGAGCTGGGCATACATGTAATCTGTATTTATATGGATTTTGACCTTTGAATGAATTTTTTTATTTTTTTTTTATTTTTTCAGGGTGTCATGGGCTGTCCTGAATGCAAACACAAATTACAAGTCACTATCTCTGCAGATGATGTGAGTTGTTTTGTGAACTTGCTAATACTTTGATATTATGCTAGGATATGTAGATACAGACACAACTGTTGTGTTTATAAACTGACATGGAGTTTCAAACATGGCAACACTTGAATATCTAGAAAAGACAATGGCTTTACTTCTGTGTGTCTGCATTTTGTAAAATTCATGATTCATTTTCTATAAGAATCATATAGAGTAACACTATTATCAAGCATGTAATGTTTCATAAAAATGTTTATATGGTGACCTCAAAAACATTATCCATAATTTTGGTGTAGGAAGGTGCTTCTCCTTTAACCATGCACAATAGTGCTGGAGAGTGTAGAAATGATTTTTGTAACCTCCGTTGTCTGACACCAAATTTTCTGTGGGAGAAGTTTCTTACAAATAAAAGATTCTCTTTTACATTGCTAAATGGGTTCTACTTGGATATTTTTTAACTCATGCAATTTTTTATCCTTATGGATTATACTGCGTTCTCCTTTCTGCAGATCATGGAGCCTCCGTGGAAAGCCTACAATGTCTTGAGAAAGATGGATTATCCATATGAGGTTAGTATCATGTCTTATTCTATAGTTCTTTACTATTAATTTTATTAGTGAGTGTATTTTCAAGTTTTCTATAGCTGTTGGACAGTTAAAGCGTACTGAGTGATAATGACTTCATAATATTTACTGTTGCAGCATATTGTTCACAGCATGAAGGACCCCAGTATTGCGGCATTTTGGCTTATGACCTTGCCTCAGGTTGTGGGCGGATTTGACTATGATGATGATATCAAGCAGAAAATTTGGTGGCAATACAAGGTTCCAGATTCATTTTGTTTCCTCACCCTAGTGTTGGACATTATTTATTTTGTTGTGACNTGATTTGGAGAGACATTATACTGGATATTTTTCTTAATTTAGATTCACATTATTGAGAATGGTAAACATCACTTAGTACACATGAATCATAAAAGTCCGGCTCTTCTCACATACAGTAGTACAGACTACAGACAAACGTTTTCACAGGCCCCTAATCAACGACAACTCGTTTATAAACTTCATAAGTTCAGATGGCAAATATTACTTAGGTCCAATAAGAATCATGAAAGTAGGATTTACTTTTCCGATATAAAGATAAATATTGGTAGGTTAAATAATATTCATCAAATGTATGACATGTCGTTCAACGAGCAAACATATTATACATCAAAAGAAAACGCTATCGTTTCGTCTAGTAAAAATGCCGGTGTTGACAACCAAATAAGGCAAGGAAATGATGTGTCATTTTCGAAGGCCAAGATAAAGGACTGTCGTTTGTAAACTTTCATAAGTTTGATGGTAAATGTCCCTTAGGTCCATAAGAAATTAAGAATCATGCAAGTAGGGCCTTTTTGGTATAAAGATATACATTGGGGAATGGGGATTCAAATCACATCTCACATTAATCAAAACGGCCTTATTTCGGTTTCTAAGACTATTGCATGCTAAAAACGACATGTCACCACTACCAAAATGCTATCGTTTTGGCATTTTATATTGAACGACGTCGTTTTGTTCATTGTAACTGACATGTCATTCTACAAAAGAAAAACAAATGTCGTTTTCTTTGCCAAGTGGTGTCGTTTTAACTACTCAAACGACGTCGGTTTACTATGTAATAAACGACATGTCGTACTGGTTAATATCATTTAGATTCCATTATGTTTCTAAATATCGTTCAAACCTGATATTTAAGATTCTTTTGGATCTAAGTGATATTTACCATAAAGAATGAGAGAATTCACAAATAGATCAACCGATACTAGATTCGGCTGAATGTTGTTTTGTATTATGCATTTTCTTTCAAGGTATATTTGACAACAACAGAGGCTTTCGTCCTACAGTTAGAATTGGCAAATTGTATCTTGTATTCTTTATGAAGTTAGAGAATGAGATTCTAATTCCACTTGATTTCATGCTACCAATCAGTATTAGTTGTTGGTCGGAAATATGCATGCTAAGACTTAGCCACAAAGAAGGGGAAGTGAATCAATTGACATGCATTTTGAAGACTTTTACTCCATGCATTCATTGGATAAAATAGCGGAAGTGATATGGTTTTTCAGCTGTTTAATTTATAACCAATTATGATTTTGTTATTATTGGCATTTTGGTTTATCATATAGTGAGCACGGTATGCATGCTTACATGCACATATACAATATATTTTTGTTACACAATCCATGAAACAATACAGCCTTAGACATGGGTCCCCTAGACTTTGAGGAATTGCTGATTTGATTGCCCCATAGTTCATTCCGCAGACTGCAACTGCAGGTAGAGGAATTGGGAGTAATGAAATCTAAGTTGCGTTCGCTGTCTTTTATCAGTTTGTGGTTTTCTTGTTTTTCAATGTTTATTCACGTATTTATTTGGAAATTTTTGAAGTGCTGGTTCACCTTTATTTTAACCTTTCTCTAATTATTAAATTTTTCCTTCGTTCTTGGTTGCAAATTCAGTTTATTGAGAGTTATGGATGTCTAAAATTTACTATTAAATTATTAATTATCGTTTTAGGATCTGTTTGGTTGAATCAATTACTTTCATTAATATTGAACTGCTTAATAATTTTTCATTGTTTCCATTTTGATTTTTTGCCTGATCTGTTAAATCATATACTTTACCTGAGTCATGAACACTTGATCTTGTTAACTTCTAAAGCTATTGAATATATATGGTTTTGTTTTTAATGATTATGAACTAAGATTTTTTCATTTGACAGATTTAATTATTTAAAGAGAGTCATGAGCATTTGATCTTGTTAACTTCTAAAGCTATTGTATATGGTTTTGTTTTTAATGACTGTGAACTAAGAGCTTTTCATTTGACAGATTTAAAGAGGGTAGTTACTTGCGGTGGAGAATGTTTTAGCTTGTAACTGTGGCATTTCTTAGTCTTTCATTGACCTATATTTTCGATGAATTGAGACCAATGTTTTGATTTTATAGAGAATGAAATGTTATGCTGAATGTTACTTTGTTGGAGAAGATACATGCTATAGTTGCATTGGACTAGAAATGTACTTCCTGTTATTTGCAATCAATCATGTAGCATTATAGTTTCTCTGGTATATTTTGTTATATAAAATTGTTTGTAACAAGTTAAAATGTTGCAAAAATGAGTGTTAGGAATTACGATACTTAGTTGAACAAAAATATAATTCAAAAGATTCTTAGGTATCCTGGTTTTAATACAAATAATATCAATAAAATTTTACAAATGAATTGAGGTTATTCTTTACTGTTTACAATCAGCTAACAAACTGATATATTTTTTCAGGTTGAATGAATGTGAGAAATGAAGCTGACATCAAAGTGAAATTGGAGTTGATGGCTTGATGAAATGAGAATTAATTGGGAATTGTTAATGAAGTTTGTTTTCGTTTCTTTATGAATTTTGATATTGAATATGTAGTTGGATGTAAACTTTGATTGTGGGAACTTGTTATTGATGTTTGGTATTGAATTTATAAGTATTCAGGAATTTTCAGCTTTTCTTGGTATGCTGATGTCATCACACTGACCTGCCGGTTGACCTGATTAAACAGGCCGACCCAGGACCCAGTCGCCTGGTCGGGTCACTGCACGGGTCGGGTTTCAGAACATTGGCTACAATATGCAGCATGTATATTGCAAGTTTGCAAACTGGAAATATTCATTCTTGTTTTGGTAACATGTCATCGGTTCGATCTTCTTGGCATAAAAGAACTTGCTGTAAATTAATGAAAACCTGGAGATAACATGCTAAATGAACAGATTGTCAACAACGTAAGAGAAAGTAGAAATACTGATCAACAACAATTGGATTAAAAAGAATAATGGTACAAGTTATCATATTCTTTGTTTTTTTTTCTTTTTAATCAAATTCATTTAAGAATAAAATAAAGGTTTCCAAACTTGAACGACAATCACCTACTGTACTATGCTTAGCCGCCCGCCATATGTAAGTGTCTGCCGTGCCGTGTATGGCGGGCAAAGCGAATTTGTCCTCCTTGATTCGATGTATGATAAAAATTTCATTTACTTAATTAAATATACATATATTAAACATCTTCCATGTGGTTGTTGAAATAAAAGTAAAAAAACAAAGCAATTACCAATTATAGATTAGTCCCGGCCAAGTCGACATTGAAATTTCATAGATTATTCCCCTTTAGACACTAATCCGGGTTGGTTTAAGGAACAGAACGGAAACACAAGGTGACGTCAAGTCGATTTAGAAATTTCATAGTGGGTTCCTGATACGTTGCCCATTAGGCGCGCAATGGTGTTTTGTAATTAAGTTTTTATCTTTTTATCTTGTATTTGTAATTTTGTATGGTGAATATTGTGTGATGGCTATGGCTGCTTCTTGTACTGGAATGGCCTTAGAGGAGAAGTATGATGTTTTCCTCAGTTTTAGAGGTGCGGACACACGCCTTGCTTTACCAGCCATCTCTACGCAGCTTTGATTCGGCGAAATATTAAAACTTTTCTTGATGATCATCGTAATAGGAGATGAACTGACGCCGGCTCTTTTGAGTGCCATTGACCGTTCAACATTTCAGTTATCCTTTTGTCAGAGACTATGCCTCTTCCAAATGGCCTTAAGAACTTGAAGTGATTCTTAAAACAAGAAAGAGCGTCAACAGATTGTAATACCAGTTTCTACCATGTAGAACCTACACATGTAAGGAGGCAATCTGATCTTTTGGGGCTGCTTTTTCAAAGCTTGAAGAACGTTATAAGGAGAAGTCAGACATATGGAGGACTACTTTGACAGAAGTAGCCACCTATCTGTTTGGATTCATCTATCGTTAGTATTCTCGCCACAAATTTTCTAGCCTTTAATATTTATGCCATAACAAAACATATGAGGACGTGTGTGTACACATAAGCTGACCAGGCGGAGTTACACGCAGGCCTGAGTGGTCACCCGGTCTCAATTTTTTTTTTTTTTTTTTTTTATTTTTAATAAAAAAGTACATTTTTTCTGTCTCTTTATAATAATTTTTTTACACTTTGACCACCCAGTTTAAGAAACTCATCTGGCCCCCATAATTTATCTTCCTAATTTCACTGATCCCTTCATTCATTCAACATAACATTTTGGCCCCCCAAGCTGACCAAAGGAAAAAAGTTTCATATGTAAGATTAATTATTATTTATATTTCTTTTTTCAGAAAACTATTAAGTATTTACTCTTTGAATTTTTATATTTATAAAAGAAATGGTATGCATAGTAATGATGTTGTATGCAAATTATTGATAGATATTATTGTTTACAAACTGGTGTGACAATCTTGCATGTTTGACACATTATTTCCTTTAATTTATTTAATTGATATTTAATTATCAACACATCAGTTTGTATGAAAAAATAATTTTTACTGGTTATGAAGTGTAATATATCTCTTACTGCAGGCATGAAGCAGTACTTGTACAACAAATTGTGAGTGACATTTATGAAAAACTGAATTATCTGTCGCTCGTTAAAGAAAAGGAACTGGTTGGTATAAAAAAACATATCGAGAAAATTGAATCTTTGTTATCCATGGGATCCAAAGACGTTTTCACGGTGGGAATTTGGGGCCTCGTCAGTGTAGGAAAGTCTACTGTTGCTAGTGTTGTGTACCGCAGAATCTATGAGCAATTTGACAGGTATTGCTTTATCGATAATGTTAAGGAACAAGCTGAGAGAAGTGATGGACTAAGTACCCTAAAGCAAGAAATTCTTTCAGCAATAACACTTGAAGATAAAAACGATGACCGCTCTGATGCAAAACAAAAATCCGCAGGCAGCAAAAAGGTTCTCATGGTTTTCGATAATGTGACACAAGGTGGACAGAGAATTTTTAATCGGAGGTCTTGGTTGGTTTGGTCCAGGTAGTCGAATCATTATAATAACGAGAGATGAACAAGTGTTGAAAGAATGTAGAGTGGATAAAACGCACAAGGTTGAGGGATTATTGCATGCCGAAGCTCTTATACTTTTTAATTCGTATGCCTTTAAAGATCATGATCCAGGGGAACGTTCTTTGGAGTTGTCAAACAAGGTAATAATATATGCTAGAGGCGCTCCATTTCTTATCAAAATTTTGGGGTCCTTTCTATATGGCAAGAGACCTCAAGATTGGGAAAGTACACTGAATATGCTGGAGAGAAATGGTGGTGTGAATTTCTTAGAAGTGCTAAAAATTTGTTATAATGGATTAAGTGATGAAGCGAAGAAAATATTTGAAGATATTGCATCGTTTTTTAATGGAATGGACATAGATCGCATAAAAAGTACTCTGGAGGCCAAGAATAATTTCTCAATGGAGATGGGGCTCAATGTTCTCCTTAGTAAACATTTTATATCTATAGCAAACAACAAAGTTAAAGTGCATGACTTATTACAAAAAATGGGTCGAGAAATTGTTTGGAGCGAATCATGTCAACGCAGCCTTTTGTCGATGCAGCCGTTTGTGGCATCGTGAGTTGTTGTGTGTTTATTTATTGTTTAGGAGTTGGCTCTTGTACTCCTCTTCTTTGTTTATCGTCTCTTTTATGGATCGACGTTGCATGACCACCATTGGAGACCTTTGCTCCCTCCATTTGGAAGTTTTTTTAATAAATGGTTGTCTCTGAGATTTAAGGTTGTATTTGTTTGAGTAAGATTTGTTTAATGATCATGCTAGAGTACTGTTTGCTCAATTATATTATATATATGAGTTTAATTAGTTCATCCTATATTTTGTGAATATGAGTGTTTGATGCGGGAGCATAAAAGAAAAATGAAAAGATAAGAAATTAAATAATTAAATTTATGTTGACTTTTATTTTGTCCCACATAGGAGAGACATGCTTTACTTTTTCACTTGAAAGACTATAAATAAAGCCTTACTTTGTCCTTTGTAATCATCCTTGAATATTATTAAATATATTTAGAGTTAAAACATTTGTTTTCTCTTCCTCTTTGAAGTTATAATTATCTTTGGCTTAGCCAACTAAGGTATCTTTTTTGACTATTCTTGCCATAGTGGGGTTATTCTAACCTCACTACGATTGGCATCTATAGTAGGGTTTTTAACCTCGTCAAGATTGAGGTTTCTTGCGACGTCCTAGCGTCAATGTTGTTATTTAAGCTTATTAAAATTATTCTGGATCCTTTGTGAATAAAATTTTATTGAACAAAATTATGTATCCACTCATATTCTAAAACTAACTTTACATTTTTCCACAATAATTAAGGTAAATTTTATACAACCTGAAATTCCAAAAATATCACTTAGGAGTTAGATCCACAAGAATAATTTTTTTTTGGCTTTTTATGATAAATAGAGAGAGATTAGGGGATCAACTGATATTCATCAAAATATACAACATATCGTTTTTGTATAGAATTAGAACAAGAGAAATGTTAGAGGTACAAAGACTCTTATACAAAGTGACGTGCATATGCCGCATCAGTTATCACGTCATCACTTTCCACATCACCTGTCCTCTCTCTTTTCTCTTTCTTTTCCTTTTCTTCTTCCTCTTTGGTCAATCTTCTCTCCTTTTTGCAGATATAAGAAAATAAAAACCTATTGTTTTTCTTTTTCCTTTATCATTGATTTTCTAAATCTTTTTCTCTCCACTCTTTTTTATCCTTTATCGTCTTTCTCTCTTGTCTCTTCTTCCTCTTCTTCTATTTCTTTCTTCCTGTTTTCCTTTTTTTTATTTTCCCTTATATTTTCTCATGGAAAATTCCCTCTCTAAATTTTTTCTACATTTTGGTTAACATGTTCTCAGAAAATTCCATCCCTAAACAAAGGAAAATTTCCTCTCTAAATTTTTTTCTACATTCTGGTTCACATGTTCTCAGAAAATTCCATCTCTAAACAAACAATGTAGAGATGGAAGAGAGAATCGGATTACCAAGATCCAAATTGGTTCACTAGGCTTGAAAGGAACTCTCCCATTGAACCTCAGGAACTTAACTTCAGTGACTATACTTGAGGTGATGAAGAACAAATTGAGTGGGCCTATCCCAACTCTTGTTGGGTTGATTTCTCTTCAAGAAGTGCTTTTTAATAACAAAAATTTTTCATATTTTCCCCGGATTTCTTTTGTGGGTTAACTTCTTTGCAAAATATAAGCCTTGATTATAATTCCTTTGAGTCTTGGAAGATTCCTATGAGTTTAACAAATGCAATGACTTTGCAGAAGTTTTCAACAAACTTTGCTAATGTTTCAGGGACTACTCCTAGGTTTCTTTGGGGGGAGGAGGGGCAAACATATTTCCAAGATTAAAGAGTTTGAATTTGGTTATGAACAAACTTGCTTACTAGTATTATAATGTTTGTTTAGAGATGTAATTTCCCAAGAAAATGTGAAGTAGAATGTAGAAAAAATTAGTGAGGGAATTTTCCATGAGAAAATATAAGGGAAATAAAAAAAGGAAAAAGAAATAGAAGAAGAGGAAGAAAAGACGGGAGAGAAAGAAGATACAGGAGATAAGAGTGGCGAGAAAAAAATTTAGAAAATCAATGATAAAGGAAAAAGAAAAACAATTAGGTTTTTTTTCCTAGATCTGCAAAACGGAGAGAAGATTGAGGGAGAGGAAGAAGAGAATTAAAAGAAAGAGACAAGAGAGAGGGCAAGTGATGTGGCAGTTGTACAAAGACTCTTTGTAAGAGCGTTTATACCTCTAGCATTTTTCTTAGAACAAACTTATGTGGTACATGCATGATTTTTAATTTTAGAAGTTCTTGATGGTAAATATCACTTAAATCCACCAAGAATCATAAAACAAAGGCTTTATAATATTAAGATTAACATAATGAGGTTATCTGCTAGTAGTTAATAAGTAAGACATGTCGTTAAATAAACAGCGATGCTTTGGTTTCACATGACATGTTTATATGATTAAAACGAGGTGTTTTACGGTAAACTTCATGTCGTGTATCTTGAGAATGCAAGAAACAACATGTCCTTGACAAGTGAAATGATGTGTCATACCATTTGTTATTTCTATAAATGATCAAAGCACCACCCCCACCCCCCCCCAAATAGAGGTGTAGTTACAAGAATTATTGTTTTGATTTTTGATTTTATAATTCATGTTTCAGTAGTACAAATAAATTGAGTGAACATATTCGACAACTTCACTACACTAATGAAATGGATATTAATTTTTTCTTTAATCATCCAAATGAGCAACAAGCCGTGTATATTTTAATTGAAGAATAAATCATTATTGAAATTAGACAAGAAGAGGAAAGAGATACTCTTGAGGATTATAGTACGAAAATACCACAAGTTTCATGTCAAGAAACTATAAACATACTTGAAAAGCTAGAAATATTTTGGCTTTAATAAGAAAGTGTCCATGCCGGCGACTTATTACATATTTGCAAGATAAATGATATGGTAACAACTCTAAAGCATAAATCATTGTCTCAAACAACTTTAGATAAATATTTTATTTCATCTTAAACTTTAATGCAAGATAATTTTTTTTTTTTTTTTGCAATATACATATAATTGCTACTATGTAGATGCAAGTTCCTTAAGACGAAACTTAGAAAAATTATAACTTATTATAATGTGAAATTTATTCTTATTTATAACTGGCACAAGTTAGGACCATAATTTTTTATGACTGCATGAAGGTTATTCTTATAGAGAGTATTACTACAGAGAGATTCTAATGTATAAAAAAAAAAAAAATTTAAATTTAAGTAATGAACAACAATTCTTCAAGACCAAAAGTGATAATATTGGAAATGGGTTGAGAAATTGTTTGGTAGAATCAATGAAAATAGACTACGCAGCGGTTTATGATCATGAATTGTTGTGGTTATATTTTCTATTGAACAACGGCGTTCTGTTTGTTGTAACCAAATGTCGTTTTACAAGAAAAACACATGTTCTCTTTGCCAAGCGGTGTCTTTCTAACTACTAAATGACGTCGGTTTACGATGTAATAAACGACATGTCGTTAATATCATTTAGATTCCATTATGTTTCTAAATATCATTTAAGTGATATTTACCATAAAGAATTTCTAAATTTGATTTTACGAACGATAATTCTTGAAGACCTGCTGCAATAGGTTCTTCTCGGGAGATGAACAAGTGTTGAAGGAATGTGGAGTGGATGCAATGTTGAGGGAGTATTGCCTGTTGAAGATCTTATGCTTTTTAATTCGTATGCGTTTGAAGATCACAATCCTGGGGAAAGTTATCTGGAACTCTCAAAAGAGGTAATAATTGATCCTAAAAGTTCTCCGTCGTTTTTAAAATTTTGGGTTCTTTTCTATTTTCTATTTGGAAAGAGACCAAGAGATTAGAATGTACATCGAATATGTGCTAAAAATCTATTAAGATGGATTGGATGATGAAGCCAATGAAATATTTTTAGATATCGATCGCATCCTTATTGGATGGAGTAGACGGATATGTTGTTGAAAGAACTCTAAAATCAAGGAATAGCTTCTATTATGCCTACAAAGTTAAGGCTGACGTGGACTCTCGTCAACAAGAGCTAATAAGGATTCAGGAAGGTTTTGTGCCATCTAGACGTTGCCATGTCGCGCAGTGACGGAAGAGGTATGGTTCTTGTCAGTGCAGCAGTTGAACGCCAAGCTTGCAAGTGGCCAGGGATCATCCACCTACTCAAGCCCTACGCAATTTGAGGATATTTCTCATGCAGATAACCAATGGGATGCAAGGAAGGACTTGCACGACACCTACTCACTTGCAGACTCGAAATCATTACCTTGAATTCTCCCACTATAAATAGAGGACATCTCTCTCATTTACGGGATTGACTTATCTTAGTCTAAAACAACACACACACACACATTCTCTCTCTCTCTCTCTCTCTCTCTCTCTCTATATATATATTCCTTCTAGATTGTAACTCAGCTCGCCACTCGCGACCTGATTATACCCATCTATTAATACAATCGCAGTGGACGTAGGATTCACTTTTGAGCATCTGAACCACTTTAAAAATTGCTTCCCACTCATTATCTCATTTCATGTTTTCATATCACGTGTAATTTCTAAGTCCGCTTAATACTTTGTACGTGTGAGTCGTTGGTGTCAAAATCAAGCATCAACAACTTCTCCGCAGAGATGGGGGATCAATACTCTTCTCAGTGAACATTTAATTAAACAACAAATTAAGTAAAAATGTATGGTTTATTACTAGGAATGGGTTGAGAAATTGTTTGGCAGGAATCAATTTAAAATCGATGCAATTCATTGTAGTTGGTATACTTTCTGTTTTGAGATTTCCTTTCTGTTCTCTCTTTCTTTGTTTATTTGAGATCCTTAACTTTTGTATTTGTATATTTGATATTCTATTAAGACATTATTGGTTTGGAGATATCAAGAATCCTGAATTCACAAAGATGAGTTCATGAAAGACAATTTGAATTGAAATTCATAAATTAAGAGAATTCTCCACTAAGAATAAGAGAATTCATAAATTAAAGATCAACTAA